ACAAGGAGAGGATGTCCCAAAAATGTAATAAAAAAAGATTGTCCCCACAGGTATAGCTTCACCAGGAAAAAACACACGTACACTCATTCCTCCATAGCACATCTTGTCAGGACCCTAAACAAAAACAAAATAAATCAGATTCTGCTACAAATTACTACAAAATCACTACAAATACAGACACAGAGCTGTATTTGCTCAGTGAATTTCTCATTTTAAAGGTCTGTACAAACCTAAACAAATAAAACAGATGTGTTCTACCTCTTTAATCCTTTAAACCCACATATCATCGTGTTGTTACCACAGCAGACCAGTGGATGGTGAAATTGCTTTAATTGTGGATGACAGACTGGAGACATGTTTTAACATTAATGAGTTTAGTTGGTAAAATTAATTGTTGTTCTTTATTTTAACACTGGTTTAAGGTAAAAACAATTATATATATACATATATAAATAAAACAAAAACCAACAAACTTGGAACTAACAATATTTACACCTCACAGATGCTTATTTTTTAATGTACCTTTAATTTATTCAATTCACAAATGCATGCTGGCCGTCATGTACACACACACTCAGGAATGTTCTTTTTTCTGATCAACAGACCACGTCAGAACCACGAGCGTCCTCTCACACCAGCGTCTGTCCTCCATAAACATCTAAACTGTTAATAACACCGACGCCCCCATGTTTTCGCTGCGGCGCCAAAACCAGCTGTTTCACGAGACATAATTCTCCAACTGTTTAACAAATATTCTGCCCCATTAAGCAAAATGATAAATGCCTCATAACGTGACTTACTGAAGCGACGCTGCAGCGTCTTTTAGAGATTTAAGTAGCAGCTCCAGCTAATGACACACAACAGTCCCACACACGAGTCTGCGAGAGAATACATGACACACAAAGACACACCAGGGGGCAGAAAAGAACAGAATTCTCACTCATCTTAGTGAAGTCACTCTCCTTTACAGTTCACTGTAAATGTCGGAGCAAACGGAAATATTTATCCTGTATGCCCTTTGGAAAGGTCAATGGTTTCGTACTTCAGTCACTTTAAACTATACTGTACACGCACAATCAAAGTATGAACGTGTGAAGCCTGGGGGTGGGGGTGGGGGGGTCGGGGGGTCACATTCGCTACAGATAAACATTTGAAGTCTATTTGCTTTCCACTGTATGTACGGATGTACAATGGAGTTCATCATAACCTAAACCCAAACACACCTGCACCTCTACAACACATCTGTCTGCCTCCGGGGGGCGATGTGATCACTGACAGGTTGTTGAGAATTTAATTGCTATAAACTGAGACAGGAAACCAGTTTCTGTGTTTGTATGATAACATTAGCAGTTTTACTAACTTAGGATCAAACTCACACAAATTCCTGAGTGTTGAAAGGCACTGTGTGTATAGGTGGCGCTCTGCCAGGCTCTTTTGTAACAGCCGTCATTTCAAACAGCAATCACTGGTTGACGTTTTTTATTTTAAAAGTGCTGCATGTGTGATTTCCAGAGGTGAAAATGAATGTTGATAGGCCGAGGTACCACAGTGAGCGTATGAGACGCTCCGTCTGAACACCAGTGGAATGACTTTATAAGTCACTGAGAGCAGAAATGATCTGAAAGCAAATGTGCGTGCGTGTGTGCGTGTTTACGATTGCACTGCAGCGTTTGCAATGTTCCTAACTCAAGAAGAAAAAAACAACTTTATGCAAAAACTAAGCCATAAAACACATGAGCCACCACCCCACCACCCCACCCTCACCCTGCCTGTGGTCCACATTAACTCGGACAGTTTACAGTTCTTGGAGAGTCTGAGTTTTATGTCTGGCTCAGCATCATTTAGAGTATTAATCATTATTTGACCTTCGCTGCCAAAGGTGATGTATGTGAAGTTCTCAAGACATCAATATATGACTGCAACTGCAGCATCATACGCAGCTGTTCCACTGGTAAAATATGACTATCACATGGATGATTGACTGATCAGGACCAATCACTTATCAATAAAGTCAGTCAGGAGACGCTGCAACAAAATACAATAAACGTTGAACCCCAAACCAAATGACCAAGGTCTGGTTGTTTAATATCTGATGTTTATGAGACAGTGAAGAGCCAAGTCTGACCAAGTCAGAACCGTCATCCAATGTCTACGTGACTAAACTGAGACAGATGTCACATGACAGCTGCGAGGACACAGTGGCTCTGTTTGATGATTAAACCACAGCAATAATTGACAGAGTGCACAGCAATGTGTAAAAATATATTTAGGTCCTTGAACGCAGCATGCTGTGTTTGATGTCACATCACTGTCGATGATGATGTGACGTCAAACATACCTTAGACTGTGGACTTAATATTTTCAATCAGATTTTTTAGTGAATTAGTACAGTACATGGTGGCACAGGCTTTCTTTGATATTAACCTAAAAAATAGAAGTCAGCTATGACGTTAATTAGGTTCAGCTGACAAAACCACATACACTAACGACATTTGTTATTGTTTGTGCTGCGAGCTGCATTCACTGTTAGATTAGTAAAAGCAGCCAAAGGTCTGTTTACACCGTGCTGTTGATGCTCCGTCTAATCAGCATCACAGCTCAGTGAACCCACCCATCTTCACCAGTTTACCTGAAAAAAAACAAACAAACAAAAAAAAAACACAGCACTGTTTTGTTCTGAGTTTTTAACAATAATAAATACTAGATAAAGAACTCTGATCACAGTGATAAAAGTAATTCACAGTCTTGTCCTTGGAGTTGGGCTGTTTCTACACACTGGTACAGTACTACTGCAGTACATCTCACTGACAATAGTAGTACATCAATAAAAATTTAAAACCAAACAAACAGCTATCTCATGAAAAGGTCTTTCTCTGTCGTTCCACATTGTCAATTTTACTCATTTACAGTCTTCTGCACGTTCTCAAGCACTCCATGCTCTGCCATTTTGTGTACTTTTCGTTTCAGTATACAGAACTTCATTTGTACATGATTTCTTGTGGATCTGTATTTCATCGAAGAAAGTTCCACTGGATGGCACTGGATGACCAAACCCTTGAAATCTGTATTTCATCGAAGAAAGTTCCACTCTGCACTGGATGACCAAACCCTTGAACCTCAAATCTTCCATCTACATTTATGTATCAGCCCCTCCTCTTTCTCAGCACCTCCTGTCTTTCTCTCAGACCCCTCCTCTCCCCTCGTCTCCCACATCCATCAGTGATAAACCCACGTAAGCCTTATTAAGAGCAGGTTTGGGAATTGGAGCTTAGTCGCACATTTCCACCTAATGACACACTCACACACTTTAGCCTTCCTCCACATTACTGGGTCGTCTGCTCAGCTGATTAATGGGACTTCCTCCTTCCTTGATAAGAACTGTGGACGGAGCTAACTCCATCTCTGCCCGTCCGTGTCTTCATTTTGTCTTTAATCCTGTTTCCTTTTTTAATTTGACTCTCATTTGACCTTCGGAACATGAACTGCATTTGGTGTAGAACTAATCCACTGAGACCGTGACCCTGACACTGTGAATCAGTGAGTCATGTCACTGAACCAAAGAACACTTTCAAACATTTTTAACTAAAATATTTTATCGACATTGGCCTTAAAGCCTAGAGTGTTACGTTTTGTAACGTACACGACCATACAGAACACAAAAAATGTTTTTTCTTCTGTGAATGTTTTTTCTTTTGTTTCTTCCAGACCTGAGGCTGTTGTCATTATTATTCATTATAATACTTATCTTTATTATTTTATATATTGCTGTTGTCATTATTATTCATTATAATATTTATCTTTATTATTTTATATATTTACGTTCTCCATCAATCTGCTCATGTTATCAAAAGCAGTTACGTAGGGGCAAGAAAGGGCAGAAACCAAGACCGTCCAGTTGCCCCACTTATCGACTATCGATTTAACATTTCACATCTGACAAACCCTGTGGTTTGTGTTTGAATCCCGTGGTTGTTTATCTGCTCCCTTTCTCCCCCATTTCCCCTTCCTTTCTTATACCAGCTGCACACTCTGAGTCTGGATCTGTCAGTTAAAGTACAGTACAATGTGATTTGTGAATTTGTGTCATACAATTAAAATAAAAATCAGTTTCATGATTTGCTCCCTCTGTGTCAGACAATTAACACTTTAATTGTTTTATGTGTTTATTTTTTAACCTCAGTCAAATTGGTTAATCTGAGGTGGTGTGAAACAATAGCATGAGCCACAGTAGGTGGCGCTGAGCTCATGGATCACACAGACCACCGATCAGCTGCTAATGACGAGACGCTCCAGCGCCTCCTACAGTACAAACGAGTGGGCCGTCATCAACAATCACAGTCTGATCAGATACATTCCCATTTTTGCGCAATACCACGCACCGGAGTGCACCCTCCAGATGAAGCACATGAGCAGCGCCTGCCTCCTGCTGTACTCATGCTGCAGGACCAATTCACAGCCTCCAATCCTCTTTCCTTCATCCTCTGTGACGCGCACAAACACGCACGCCAAACGGCAACCATGAGTTGCCACATACGCGCAACCCCGGCTGAGACGGCGCAACAAACCCGATGTGACACATGTGCGCATTGTGCGCAACTTCAACGGCCCCAGCCAAGCGTGGTCGACCCGCCCCCTCCCCACACACTGAGCAGCTTTGCACACAAACCCCAAACGCACGCGTGCACACATCTGCACACACCACTACCAAAACCTGCAGGTGTTTCTCGATTAGCACATGCGCAAACGCAGCGAGAGTAAGAGCACACATACACACACTTCCGCTGATCCAGTAAAGTCCAAACACATCAGGCAAAAACACAGCAGAGATTTGGAGTGACTCCGTGAACACACGTGCTCACGTCAACACAGCAGCAAGGGAAGCCTCTTCGACCGTGCACTAACACACACGCCCCCGCATTCTCTCTATCACACACTCTCTCTTTCACACGCCACACAAACACACACGTGCCAGTAATTGTCCATTTACTTTTCCTCCTTACCTTCCTCGTGCATCCGCTGCAGACAGAAAGTGAGGTTCCTCCGCCAACCAGGCATGGTGATGAAGAGGAGGAGGAGGACAGGTTTAGATGCTACTGCTGATGGTGTTGACGACGATGATGATGATGGTGGTGGTGGTGGTGGTTAAAGATGAGGATAATTAGAGCAGTAGCTCCTGTCCACTGGAGGTGGTGACACTGCTGACAGTGTGACGTGTTTCCCTCTACTCTCTGTTCTCTCCGGCTCTTCTTTCTTTCTCTCTCTCTCTCTCTTCCTCCTCAGTATTTCCCTCTGTTTTCTAATAAAAGGCTGAGTTGCGGCGGCTGCGCTCTCCGGCAACGACCCCGCTGATGGTCCGGGTGGCTGTCGGTCCCGCTGCTGCGCCACTGCTCTCTCTCTCTCTCTCTCTCTTCCTCTCTCTCTCCCTCTTTCCCCCTTTGCCGCCCCCTTACTCATTTATACACTCAACTTACACATATACGTATACACGGTTTATCCATTTTCTATTTTCGCGTTAAATATAATGCACCACAGCGAAAGTATAACAAAAACACTCACCATGAAGTTGTTTTTTGAATTATTTTTAATAAACAATTATTTTAATAAACACTTTACTTCCTGGAACTATGGGATGTTATTTTGTAGATGGAGTCAAACCCAGTCCTACTAACACACTGTAGCCAGCATTCATGGATGAATGTTGGTGGGGAACAACGTCCTATCTACAAAAGGGGGCGCTGAAGACAAAGTTGAAACCAATGTTTCACCTGTTGCTCTCCAGCTAATTGTGTAGCTATTTAATAAAGATATAAGCACACTGCATATATTTTTTTAAATGCGGTACATTCTTTGCAGGAGTCAGTCCCATGCAAATCAATTAAAGCAGTTTTTAAATCATCATCCGTGCTTCTCCATCTCAAAGAAGTTTGTTGCCTTCACTGCCATATTTCACTAGTCCAAATAAAGTTCTGGTTAGAGGAGAACGTTTTCAGCATACCTGAGATCTGAGACTCTATAGGGGGAAAAAAAGCAATGCATTCAAACAGCATTCTGAAAATACTGTATGTGTCTGATGCTCCTGCAGTTCAAGTTTCCCTCCCTCCATTTCTTAATGTGTTTTAGTCAAAACAATGTTGGTGATTCACAATCGTTCACTTATATTCTCCCACTTTATGTTCAAGAGGAGAACTGAGGAATATAACCACAGGCTGCTCTGCCGTCTCCTTCATCGACACCACGTTCCCTGGTTCCGTCTCTGTGGAGCTTCAGAGAACATCAGAGTTCAATCACAGAGGAGGGGTTGGAACAGACTCTTCTCCTTCGTCTGGTGATGGTTCTGTACTGTCCTCAGGCCACGGAAAAGGAGATTAAAATCTATCTGCACGTCTTTTTTTAGTATCATAATCTTGTAAATGTGGCCACACAGTGGTGAGTACTCTGGTTCCAAAAGTAGGGGGCGAGCCACCCTTTCTGGGCAATTTGTTTTGTTGAAACAGAATGGAAATTTTATATAGTACCTTGGTTAGTGAGATTTAAAGTTTCACATTAGTTGTTTTTTTATATAATAATGAGAACATTATTGATTGCTAAGGCAGAGACGTGTTTTGCAGAATTTTGAAACAATATCTGATTAAGTTGACCTTGGGGATAAACACAATTTAAAAAACATAAATCTTTATTTAGAGTTTCATCACTACATCTCCAAAAGTACGTCCACATCCACCTTAGGCTGCTTCATTAATGCTGCTCACGGACAGACAACCTCTGGTGGAGATAATACTGATGCTCGGCAGCAGGTTATCATCTTGAACAAACAAGGACGGAGCAGCTCTCCACCCTGGGCGGCCCTCAGGTACTTCTGTATGTATGACACAGGGCGACTGTTCAGCTAAAAGTGAGAAGTGTTTGATGCTTTCGACTCAGTCGGAGCAGAGAGAGCTCCAGCAGAACTCTGCATTAATCTGTCAGCAGAGGAAACAATGGCAGGACACCAGTACTGCTGGCAGCCGCACGACTACCACAGAACCACTGCTGGGTTTAACAGATGAGGTGGATTTAGAGCATGAGCCCTGACTCTTCTACTCCACACTTTGCCTGTTCAATTTGGTTTGACGGGTGTTTTGTCTCATCAGTCAGTAAAACTTTCTTTAAGAACTTGGCCTGTCGTCTTTACTCTAATGTTCTAATATGTTTGGAAAATTATATTTTAATCAGAATAAAAATGTGTTGACCGTTCATTGAGTTCATTTGACAAAGCTCTTGACCACTGTGATCTGATGGACGTTTGCCTCCGTATGAGCACGCTTTGTCTTCATAGTACAGTAAAAACAGTGAGAGCCTTTTGTAAAAATATTATTCATGATACAGTAAATGCTACAGTCTGCGGTAAAAGACACGACTTTTAATACAATAACTGCTCACGATGCTCACGAGCGTCACCACAGACTTTAGAAAAACTAGTGAAATGCTGACCTCTTGTGGTAAATTACTAGAAGTACTGTGTATGTGCTGTGCGTCTCTGCAGTATAGAAACTGTAGGAAGTCGGTGAACCATAAAAATACTTGCAGTACAAGCTGCTGACTCAAACGAACACATACAGTGTACACAAAGTAAAACACAATGTCCTTACTGCAGTGTCCCGGACTGTGGCGCTCTTTAGAGGGTAGTGAGTACTGCACTATGTCACGCCATTTAGTAAATTATTTGGGTATTTTCTGAAACTTGTTTTGATTATTTGATGAATTACATCAACTTGTGAAGGGCCTGATACAGTACTCTGAACGCTCTGGTTGGTTAAAATGTCTCTATGTTTTAAGATTTCTTGTTTTATTATTTTAACGTCTTTGATTGGCTGCTACGTTGGCCAGTAATACTACTACTATTACTACTACTACTACTAATAATAATAATAATAATAATAATAGTAGAAGTCCTGCATATCACTAGTTTCTACTATAAAAGAGGGGAGAAGGAGGGGGAGGATGTGTTTTCTACCTGAGTTTCATTGATTAACCGGAGGAGGAGGGGCCGGATCCTGTCTGGTATTGAAACCCATCTGACCGGTCGGAGACAGGGAGAAAGGGAGGTTTGTGATACGTGTCGGTGGTAGGCACACACACACGTGACTGGCTCCGACTCTCTGATGCTTCAGGGTAGAACGACAGCGTGTGAGAATAAGAGCCGGATGACAAGAAGACGGTGGGGGAGAGAAACAACGTATTTAGTCTGATAGCATCGTCATCCAGAAGCAAGATCCTTTTTTACTGCATATTTTGGGATTTTCCAGTGATGTCTGTTATCTTTAAGGATTTATCCTGATAGATATTTATTCATTTGCTGTTCTTTCACAGACATCAACCTCCATCCTCACCAGGCCTCCATAGAAAAAGCGCTGCTCCTCCATCTCTTTTCTGCGACATGTGGTTGCGGATGTGCCGGGAGGCTGCAGCTCTGCCACTGCTGGTGGTGGTCGTGTGTCTCTGGTGCGGTTCTAATGTATGTGCAGCGCAGGGAAGTCGACTTAATGACCGACCCATCATCGGTAAGGTTTGGACTAATGTCACACTAATGTGTGTCCGTCCTTGTCTTTACTTAGTTCTCTGTCCGCTCTGTGGATTACAGTCGCTCTTATGCAACGGACACGAAGAACGTTCGGGAACAGGCCCAGATTTAGCTTAGAATGTGGGGGGCAAGGGGAATGTAGGGGTCAGATTTCTTATTTTGAGTATATATATCAAACATTTAATCTATAAAATCTATTAATCTATATAGATTTGACCTGAAATTACAGTACAGTGTATATATTTACATATATACACACATGTATGGACATCAACGTGTTTGTGGTTTTAAGCGTTTCGAGTTTTACTCTCTATATATATTTCAAAATATGTGTATTACATAGACGCATACATATATACATACATACGTACAAACATACATAAAAACAAACTTACATAATCATTTACCCAGTTTTGGGAGACTAAACCAAAACAGATTGTGCTCTGCTCTCGTTACAATATTGATAATTTTAAAGGTTGAAGGTTAAAGACTGAAAGACTCAATTAACAAATGAACACAGGGCTAGATTTGTAAACATGTTTTTATAAAACACGTTTGTGTTTTACAAACATTTTCTACGTTTTTTTTCCATTGGTTGTAAATAGTAGACATTAGAGGTTAAGCACAGACAAAGATGCATGTCATCAGTATAACTACGAACATGTTTGTTTTGTCAAGTAATATAGTGATACTGTAACCTGCTGTGTCTTCTAAAACAAATTATGCTTTAATTTAAAAATGACAAACTCGTTAACTTTAACAAATTATATTAGTATAGTTGTTCTTTTATTCTGCTCAGGTGTGCTGGCCCAGGAAAACCTACCTGAAGACATATTTGCTCAGGGTTCTTCCTACATAGCTGCCTCATATGTGAAATACCTGGAGGGTTCTGGGGCCAGGGTTGCACCAATCAGGTACTCAGACTATCATCAGATAAGCAATCTTATCTAGTGTGTCTAGTCCAGGCCTTTTCTCTGCTATTTTTGGAGAAATGTGGGAACAGCAGGGAAAAGGCAAGTATAATGATAATGGAAAGCAATTACATGATTTGGACAAGTTTGGCATGTGACATAAATGTGCAATTACTGCTTTACCCTGAGAAACAACAGATGAGCAGCATCTGGAAAATAACATCTAAGTTGACTGATACTCATGTCTGTCATTCCTTTCCGTTTGCGACAGAATCAATCTCACAGAGGCGGAGTACACTAAGTTGTTCCAATCAATAAACGGGTAAGTTGAAGAATATTCTATTTTATCATTACAACACAGTGAGATTTTAGTCCGATTACCTCTCCAAGGATTTATTATTGTAAAAAATGAAGGCAAAAAAATCTATGTAAAATACAACTGCTGCTGCTGGATGTGTTGAACTGCAACGTGTGCATGAATGAAAAGGAAAAGCAACTCTTGAAGTAAAGTACAAGTAAAAGAAACATTTTTTTTTAAAGTACAGAATTTCAGTGCAGCTTTTTGAATTGGTTACTTAATTAACTGTTTGATCTTTGACCCCTCCGCTTCTTTTCAGGCTGCTGTTGCCAGGAGGAGACGTAGACATCGAGACATCCGAGTACAGCCGTGCTGCCAAGATCTTGTACAAACTGGCTCTGAAGGTACCTGGTAACCAGGAGTCCTGCTCTGACTTGGACTGAACTGTTTTTTTAGTTTTTGGTTTCATTCTGTGGTTTTTGTTTGAATTTTCAAAGTCTGTGGGGAGTGTCTGTGGGAAAAGTCATCTCAGGGCTGTGACTGATGTGTGTCAACACAGCCTTAAGTGGAAAATCTCTATGACGGGGGTGAATGGGGGAGGTCACTGCAGGGGTCGTGTTCCCATTTTGGTGCAAGTCTCTTTTTTTCACTCAGTCACTGCAATGAAGAAAGCAGCAAAACTCAGAATCGAATAACATCTAATAAAGAGCGTTGTAACTACTATTCAAATAGTGGCCCACGGGTCACTTGTGGTCAAAACACAACCTCACAGCGGTCCAAAATGAGTTGGGATACATGCAGAGAAACTTAGAATTACAAGTCGCAAGAAATCCAAAATTGTCAGAGGTGTAAAAGTGACCCTGATTTAAACAAGCACCACTCATATCCATAATGCCTCACTTTGGCCTCACAATGTGTTAGTGGTTTACTATATGTTAGCATTTCCATCTCAAAGCAATGGAAAATTATGATTGAATCAGGTAAGAAAATATCCATACATTGAATTGTCACAATATTTAATATCACAGTACCAAATTGATATTCTACAGCACTATATTGATATTTTATTATCAATTAACATGCAAATAGTCATGACGTTTGCTATTTTATTTTGCTTTTTATTTTCTAGCCATCAACAATGTAGATTCTGCTGTTCCAATTGTAATAATCTTGACGTTCGACATGGAACAGCATTGTGTGTTCACTATGCTGACAGTTTTACATTTAAATAATAAAAAAACTTAATATATTACTGTACCTGTAATATCACATTATATCGCAACATATTGATCGCAGTTGATTGATACACAACCCTAGAATGAATGCATATTTACTTTGATCATAGAATGGAAGATTTGAGCCCCAAACTCCAGCTATCTAATTTAGTTACTGTGGTTTTAATAGTTAATTTAACTGAAATATACTAGAAAAGGATATAAAGGATATAAAGAAAATATTTAGACAGATTTAGTGAAAAACAAAAGTCACTTCTGTAATTACCTTTCTGTCTTTCATTGCAGGCAAACAATGACCAGGACTATTTCCCTATCTGGGGAACCTGCCAGGGTTTTCAGCAGCTGTCAGTCTTCACAGCCAACAAGAACCTGCTGACGCTGACAGATACCAAGAGCGTAGCTCTGCCTCTCAACTTCACACGAGGTATTTTCCTCTGTTCCTTTCTGAATGCAGGAGTTAAGAAGAGTTTGACTTTGTTAAATTATTTTTCTTTAAACTTGCCCTAGTACTAATATACTGCTTCTTACCTACTCCTGGAGGGCTGGATTGTTTGATCACGTTACAGACAGTTAAACATGCTGCTCCTCAGGCAGTTCCAGTTCCAAACTAGTGTCATGGTCATGTTTTCCATGATCTACTGTTTCTTGCATGTCGCAGCGTGGGCCTCAGAGTAAGAAGATGCACCCTAGAAAGCAAACATTTCTAACATTCTGTGCCAACAGTGCCAACAACTGTGAATAGGAATTATTTGAATGTTACTCTGGGACCGTTGGAATGTTTCACTGGAATTAGTGTAAATATTAGGTCATAGTTTCAATGAAGGGACCGTTTTTATTTAAAAAGTTCAACGATTAGGATCAGGCTTTGTTAGGCCTGTTAGTGGTAGGGTTGGGATTGGTTAAAAATGTAACAATTCAGTTTCTATGTTCAAACGTATTTTAATAATATTGATGTGTTTTTTATGTTAGCTTATCTTATCCTAAATAAGATTAAACTGCCAAAAGTTTATATGCCATAAGTTTAGTTTAAAAGAAAACTAATTATGACATTCCAGCGTTGGCTTCACTTCAAATCTGTGCATTTTTTCCAGAGGCTCGCTCCAGTCGTCTTTTCCGAGGTTTTCCCAAGGACCTGTTACAGGCTCTGGCTGAAGAAAACATTACTTCAAACTTCCACAGCTGGAGTCTGTCGATGCAGGTACTGTATCTTCCTCTGCACAGTATTAGTAATTTTAGTGAAGATTTTGTATATTCCTTTTGACATTTTTTAATACTGATAATTCCATCATTTGGATTAGTCACAAATTAAAACAGGTGAGAAACACTGACCTCTACCTGCTGATATTGGTCTGTCAGGTCAAGCAATACACAGCAAATAAGTCATATTTGTAAAGGTTGATTTATCATATTAATTAATTAATTATTGTGAGTAATAACAATTGTTTGTAAGTAATCACAATTACTTCTAATAGTTGATACTGGAAACAGACATATAAAGATTTAGACCTAGTTTTTGACAAAACAACAGCCGCCTCCTGAGGCCTTTGAACTCTTACTTAATTGAAGAACAAACAAACATAAACTAACTTAGGTTGTCATGGTGTTTAAGCGTTATCTGAATAAAATACACAGCTTTTGGTGTGTTCTGACATGATGATACCTGGAAGATATTTGTACTTACTCTACCTGCAACACTGCAGATAAGGAAGACTTTGGTCATGTGACCACAGACAGTATGACCTCAAACTGAAAACTGATTAAACGCATTCCTAGTGATGAAAAGCCTCAGTGTCTTCAGACTTCAGTTATACAGTATACAGTAAATATATAGTTGAAGGATACTCAAATATATATTTTTCACACTACAGTGTATTTACTGAATATTATTGTGTTCTTCAACCAACAGAACTTCAGCCAAAATTCAAAGCTGAAGAAATTCTACCAGATCCTGTCGACCAACACTGATGGGAAGACAGAGTTCATCTCTTCCATGGAAGGTAAAGGGTTTAGATGAGCTAATTGTGGAGCTAACACAAACTAACAGTCTGTTCAGTAAATGTTGACTAAATCTTGTCTTTTCTTCAGCCTACCGTTACCCATTTTATGCAGTTCAGTATCATCCAGAAAAAAGTCCCTTTGAGTGGCTCGACAAACCAGGGATGGTTCACACCACGTCTGCCACCAAGGCGTCCTTCTACACAGCCAGCTTCTTTGTCTCTGAAGGTAACATCTGATGTCTCCACTGTGGCCTTAGAATACTGTTGTCATTATCAGGTTTTTATATGGAGTAGTGTAGGCCCATTAATAACATATGACTTACAATAACAGGGCTTTCTAGGTCGTTAATGGCATTTTTATCAAAAAACTATGTTTGATGCAACAAACCTTTTTTTTTAAAATTTAGCCAGCAAGGAACTTTACATGCAGTACAGCCACCTACAGGACTGCATTGTGCGTCAGAAATGTTTATAAATTTGCCCACGTTCAATCACCCTTTTTGGTCATTCACATCTCCAGTCCAAGTTACAATGTTTAACATTTTAATTTGGATTCAGCTTAATAATTTCTTTGTGGCCGCAATATGCCAACAGCAGCTTAAAGTGAATTTGAATCAGTTCAGGAATATAAACTGTGCATGGTAGAGCAGAGTTCTTAAAAAGTCTTTAAATTCACATTATCAAAAAAACTGAAAATGGACAAAGATGTTATCTTCTAGACAGAAATATACCGATGTATTTAATCATATAGGACTTGTATACAATATAAGTCGAAGGGGCAGCAGCTCTATATGTGGATTTGACCCTTGTAGGTACATAACATAAGCAGTATTTCACACACACACAAAAAATTAGATTGTTAATTCCTATTTTCCCTTGTTTTGGTCTTCTTCAGCCATGAAGAATAACCATCATTTCCCCAGTGTGGAGGAAGAGGAGAAGGCGCTCATCTACAAGTACATTCCCGTCTTCACCAGCATGGACTTCTACTTCATTCAGAACTATTACTTTGACTGACAGCCAACACAAGAAAAACAAACAAACAATGTCGAACTAGCATAGCCGGACGGTTTGGAAGTGACATCACTTGTACATAGGTCTATGGTGACAGGGTTTTTTTTGTAATAATAATAATTTTCTTCATAACCTCATTGTCTCACCCGTGAGTCCCAGGTCTCGTTCTGTAGTATGAGGGGCTTTACCTTCGCAGTGGAATAGCTCTGTCCAGTTCTTATATAAAATCTATGGTTTGCTCTGTGATAATGTGATAGTCAAGTTCCTTTAGTGCAATAACAACTGTAGAAAAACTGATATTATAAAACTTTATCTTTCTAGTTCTCAGATAATCAATGGCTGTCATCTGCGTGTGAAGGTAAATTTGTAGTGTAGGTTTACACAGCAGTGATGGGTCACATGACCAACTACAAAAATAGTGTCTTAATATGCTTTGAAAACAATCTGTGGCAGGGTTGTTCTAAACCCACAGGTTGCTGTGTTAAAAAAGCTTAAAGGGTCACGTTATATTTTTGAATATTGAGTATTTTATAATCAGATAAATGATTGTAAATGGAGTGAAGGTGTGAATGTACATGTATAAACTGTGAAGCTGGAAACCCTCACACATTTGTCTTGATCTTGACCACGTGTGCATTTGGTTCCAATCTCTTCAGATCTCCAGTCTGACGACCAGCAGTAATTAGACTCAATGTCAAAGAAAATGAGCTCATTAATGTGTTGAAGTTGCTAACCTGACTAATCCTGTGTTTATGTCTGTCTTTTTTAATGTCTACCAATCATGAAGAGTATATTCAAAATAAGATATACACAACTATATACCTGTGTAATTCTTGTCACAAATAAATTATTTAAAATAAATAATTTAAATGTCTTTATGGAATACAGTAATCCACCCACACACACACACACACACACATATATATATATATATATGTATATATGTATATGTATATATATATATATATATATATATATATATATATATATATATATATATATAAACAAGCAAATAAAAGTCCACCCTCTCACCAGCTTCATATTCCATGGTTGTAGTTGACTACGTCCAGGTGTGTGTGATTAAGCATAAACTCTACACAGGTGTTAATAATCATCATTGACTGATGCTGCTGCTCAGGTTAAGGACCAAGCTGTTGGTCAACGGGTTTAGAAGTTAGAGTATTTAACATGAATGTGACTAAAATGCATCTTTAATATGACTTTGTTTGTAGGCCATTTTAAGATTAAGGAGTATTATTGTCATGCATATAGAAAAAAGGTTGTATGCCAGGCTTTTGGGTTATATTACCTTGTTTCTTTTTGTACCAAATTAAAAAAATAGTCACTTGATGGATTTGTGAAAATGTCCTTAAGGAAAGTTGTACTATCGCTACAATATAGAAGGATAAGGATCATTGATAATGGGGTGAGCAAAGGTCACGTACCAGAAAGGAGAAATTCTCTGTTTATCCTGTTGAATTACACGTTTACCACAGCTACAAGCTACTGTAGTAGCCTAACGGTTACATTAAGTCAACATTAGCAGTGTTTGTTTGGTGTTTCTAAAACATTTATGTGCGGACATGCATTTTTAAGCAGTATTAGAACAGAATGAATTAATTGGTATTAATTCACAAACGTGTACGCATAGCATTAAATATTAAGTACATAAAGCCAGGATAAAATAAAAATAAATCGGAAATATTTTCCTTTAAATCATTTTAATGGGGTTGAACACATATTTTTCTCTCTTCAACTGTTTTCATGAGGAGAGGGCCCTGTTTTCCCACTAGATGGCGCGCTGACACTGTTTAATTAAATACTAGTCAAAATAGCGAGTGACAATGTTATGGATTTTTTTAAATCACCTAAAATACAGATACATTTGAAAATGTAGTAATTAATTTACCATTCTTCAACTGGTAAATATAATGACATCCATTAGTATGTACAGAAAACATGTTATAAAGTGAAACTAATGACAACACTAGTTGTCTAGGATAATTTGGATCTTTTTTTGTGTGTTTTTTTTTGTTCCGTACAGACTGTTGGTCTGTTGCTAATATTGTTGTAGGAATTTAAGATGTGTGTATCCTTAAAATGAAATTATATATACATTTTAGAAACTATCCAGATGTCTAAAGTCTGAGGATATTGGTATATATCAGTATATTTATGAATAGTATATCTTTGAATCAAATTCTAATCCTTACTTAGAAAATATATGTTGAACCTCAAAACACCCACCTTCAGTTGGGACCTGCACAACGTCCCCACAAGAAAAGTGTCCCAGAAACGACAATATATTTCCAAAACACTGTCCCCACAAGTGTAGTAATACCCAGCCTGACACACACACACACACACAACCCAAGAGACACAATAAAAGACAATAGCAGAGTAAGTGAAGAGACTGAAGTCTGACTGGAGAGAAACTCACTGTCATGAACAAGAGAGGTGGGAATTGGCAGATGGGAGAGAGGGGATGAACAAGGCAAATGAGTGTGCAGCTACAACAGTTTCTGGAGGTGCATGTGTTCAATACACACACAATTATTTTTTTTTTTGTCAGCTTCTCCTTCAGTGGTCGCCACAGCAGACCATCTGCCTCCATCACTTTCTTACCTCTCACCTCCAGTGGTTTTCCAAAATCATTTTTCCTGTGCAATGTTGTAGCTTACATTTGCCTTGGTGTCTGTACCAGGACTGTTGTAGCTAACATTAGCTCTGGTGTCTGTACTAGAACTGTGGTAGCTAACGTTAGCTCTGGTGTTTGTATCAGGAATAATATAACTTAGTAAGTTTGTCTTTTGTATTTCTTTAACAGCCATCAACAAAAGTCACAACGTAGTTCAGCCCCAGCGAAACAAATTTAACAAATTATTAATTCCGTTCAACTAATCAGTGGCTTTACCCACTTTAATTTGTAACATGGAAGTACTTTTTTTCTCCGACACTACTTGCATGGTTCGGCTTTCTGAGTTCTCGGGGGGAAAACATATTTTAATTAAACCTAAATGAAGTGTATACATGGCATAAATGGCAAAGGACTTGACGCATAATGACTGACTTAGAGTTTAATCTGAGTATGATCACTTTCTACACCACCTCCCTTTGGTACTGCATCTATTAAAATGTATTTTATACATGAATGTAATGCCATGGTATATAATAAACCAGGGTTAGTGTATTTAATTAAATAATGGATCGGAGTTAGGGCTACAACCAGGTTCCTATTTGTTCTCTGAGACACATTAATTACACAGAGCAGTCCTCTCATCAGTGGGCGAAATAACTCAATTTCCTCCCTGCACTACTGAGCCACAAGGACACATGGGATCTAATCAGCGTGTGTGTAGTTTATTAAATTACTGAGTACGGCTGCGGCTGATGGTGCTACAGGCTGGTTGATGTTCATCAGACACGTGGTAGGAGTAAAAGTGGAGATTACCTCTGCACTATCACCAACACTTCAATTAATAAAGCAAATAACACGCTGGTACGCTAACCCTCCCTGAGTCGTTCTGATGCATAATGCACTCACGATGTTTCCTTCAGACGGTGCTGGTAATGATGATGATTGTCATCATTAAGATCCTCGTTGTCAGCTGAACAGCAGCATGTGATCAACAACGGTCCTCAGGTATTTGGAGACATCTTGTAAAGTCAGACAACTCATGAAACTACTTTACCTGTAAACATATTTGAATGAAGGGGACCCACACACAAGCAAACAGATTTTATTCCAATAAACAGAAATGTATGACTGTTGCACGGACGCCTGTACTTCTGATTAGTGTTGATGATCACTGTAACAGCCTTTATGCACGTCACTGTGCTAAAGACATTACTTTGGCCAAATCCTAAAGTATTAGTAGGTTGTACTCACAGATTATCACCCACACTTTTAATTGCAGCCAAAAAAAAAACTACTGGTGTAGCAATTGTAACACACTGAACTGTCACTGTCTATCACATCACTGTACATCAAGTTAGTGATGTTATTACTTTGAATTAATTAGTGTCAACAAACAGCAATTATTGTCACCAATTATTGTTTTTATTATCAGCAGTTTAAAAATGTTGTCAACATTAGACACACAGTCAGGCCCAGGTCTGTGCTGGAGAAAAACTGTTGGTGACAGCTAACAGAGCTGCTTCTCTCACCGTTCCCACATTACACAGACACAGTGATGAGGTTGTGGGAGAACTATGGTCTTTGTAAAATATTCTGAAAACATGTTCCAACCTGCTCCAATACAAACATGTGCCAAACGCTAACAAAGCCACCGTTGATTCCTTTGGAAATGGCACTGAACCAATGACAGCGCCTCAGCATGAGCTGACAAAGAGCTCTGGTAAAAAAACACAACTAAATGGGCCATCCATGGGTATGGTGAGCTGGGCTGCACCTGTGCTGCTCTGATTTGATTACTCCCATTCAGTGCAGTGCTGTAATGCTGAGTTTAATTTGGAAAAATTGCAGGAATGAATGTCTGTCCGTTTGGCTGTTTGGAAAATGGCTGCCAACATTGGGCTGAAACTGTGCTGATTTTAATCAGTTTGCTGCCTAGATGATGCACACTGTAAAATATACAGTATAAAACTATAAATATATATCCATATATATTGGCTTTATTATGTAATATCAGTAAGAATCGTTAAGGTTTTTTCCTCCAATAATGAAAACCCAGTAACGCAGTCTGTGGGTTTGGCCAGATATGCTGGAATCGCTTTAAAAATGTATTTTGTACAGACAATGCCAATGCCTTTAGTGGAGCATCACAATAAAAGGAGGTAATGTGTTAATTCCACAACAGGCGATATGTCATGTGACCTAAAATAGTTTTGGAAAAACTATGCATGTATCAGTATTAGTTGATATCAGCCCTACTATGTAGTACTGTATATACTGTATATATATATATATTAAATTGGACGACTTGTGAAATTCTATACATGACTAACTTTATGACTAATTCGTCGAGTCAGGATCAGCACTCCACTAATGTTGTCATTAACTATGTGTTACCTCAATATAGTCATTAATATGTGTCAATTAGAGTTTAGTCACCAATAATTTGAACAGGTTTAATTGGTGTGAGTTTCACCTCTTCAGTTCGGCTGACATGCTACAGCAGAACACGGCTAAACTGTAGATCATCAACTCAGGTCATTAGCTGCCTCATTGGCTGCAACACAAGTTATCAGAGTCGTCATTTGTGTCAGCGGCATACGTACTGATCACAGCAGCTGAAAGATGATCTCCAAATGGAAATTTCTTTGTGAAATACAGGCTCAGCCTTAGACATGGAGTGAGGAGCTCAGACACCAGGGAGCAGCTCCAAGGAGCTCCATTTCTCCTCTGCGCTCAGAAGATGCTTCCTAGACATCTTCTCCTTGAAAGTTGGGCTGGTCCACCTATGTGGTGACCCCAAGATGCAGACGACGTATTTTTAAAACTTAGTTCACACTTGTTTAGCCAAGAGATTGTGACACAGAACAACTGTGTTGACAAAAAACTAATATATATACTGTATATATATATATATATATATACATATATATTCTGTAAATCTGATCTCCCATGGAGGATAGACTCACTCCTGTACAGAGCGGAGATTGGAAAAGAAGAAAGTTGTTGGTAATTGATAAGATAAAATGGTAATCATCCATATGGGCCAAAATATTAGACCTCTCCTTTCTCATCTACTTGGCAGCCACAGGGGAGAAATAGAGAGGAGGAAAGTTAAGTGGTGAGGAAGAAGGAGGGGTGAGGAGTGAGGGGTTTAAAAGGAAGGGGGGAAAAGAGCGATCTCTTCAAAATTCATTTTTCTGCTGCTCATCCTTCTTCATAATAGGAC